GAATATAATGATTATTTAGTAGGATGCATTTTAGCAGACTTCAGGAAATAACGGGTCTGGTCTTGCTGCTAAACTGAGTTTTCGGTGTCTATGTATGTCACAGGGGGAAGGGTACTCTATAGGTTTTGGGAAATTAATGCACAAACAAGATTATTTTCAGACATATTATCCTTTCTGACATTGATGACAAAAACACAGCAAAAAGAATTTCAAGAAGCCATCAGGGTAAAAGAAAACTGCAGTTGAGCTGCGTGGAAGAAACTCCCCTTTTTGTAAAGCTATAATTCTATTCAATGATAAAACTCATTTGGAACTTCCCTAATGAAAAATTTCACAAAGGATTCATTTCCATTTTCTTTTCTTGTTATTGTTTGGCAGTCCAGGTTGCAGCCAGATTGCGCTATCCCAAAGACCCATTTGAGTTCAAGGACACAACTCACAGTCCTCGGCTTGTGGCCGAGCCAGGTGAAGGAGTTCGGGAGCCTGTCTCTCTTTTAAATAACCGCACCCTTCAGCGTTCTATCTTAACATGCTGAGCTCGGTTGAAGAAGACAGATGTACTATTGTCGGCTTCAGCATGCATTCATTCAGCTTGTTGGGCAGCAAAATCCCAAAGAGAAAAGACCTAGCAGACAAGAAATAACAATTAAAACGAACCGGCCTCCAGTCTAGCAGCTTGCTCAAGACGTTCTTCGGAAGCCCTGTTAGCTAGATGCCTTTGCGCTCAACCAACTTTGCATGCCGCTCGCTCTGAGTGATTCCAGTGTGAATATGACATTACTAATGACCTGCTAAGTGTGTGCAGATGTGGGTTTCTCCAGATGTGGCTATTCATAACGTAATGGAGATAGCCGGTCGCCTCATGTTTATGGGTTGTTTGCCTTTTATTGCATTTCCGAGGTTATTTGCTTTGAACTGTTTTTTAACTTTGGCCAACAAATTCACCTTTAAGTGTCAAAGGGCATCATCCCCCCAAACCCTGTGGAGGAAATGGAGAAGAGGGTGTGTGCCCCCAGGCTGGACCTGAGTGCCGGGCTCATCACATGGCAGCGCTGGGCTCTCTGGAAAAGCTGAAAGTTGGAATCCTTGCCCCATTTTACTCGAAAGGCCTACAAAGAGGCATTGGTAACCCCGACACGGTGTTTGCAAGCTGGCGAGACCAATAAAGAAAGGGATATCTTTAAAAAAAAAATCCAGTAAAATATATGATCATCTTGAAATAAGCCCAGAGCTCTGGCTAGTGTTTCTGGAGGATGTTGCCTTGCTTTTGCTTGAAAACAGAATGCCGATGAAAAGTCGAGTAAAATGTTGTTACAGATGTTCGACTCTGTATTAAGGCTGTTGGAATTACCACCACATCTTAAATCAATTCCCAGAACATTGTCTGGAGGTTATGTCATTGAAATAATGAATCCTCTTTAGTGAAGTATAAGCAAACATGTTAAAACATCATTGTAACTTTAAATTAAACTCTAGCGCAAACCAAGGGATCTGAAGCCTCATTAGACTTGCCTGACATTTTTCTAGCACTGAGTCTTCCCCAACTGTAAAACTGTTAGATTCAGAGCCTATTAGACAAGTGAGCGCTGGGAAGTTACAACAGCACATTAAGTGTTATACTTAGGGATGTGCAAAAACAAGCCCTTGAATTTTATGAGCACTTGGAGACTAGATGGAGTTCAGCTCCTATAAAAATTCCACATTGGATTCCTGAACTTGTTTGTGTTTTAAAGAAGCCGGTAAGTCAGGTTCCTTTCAAAGATCGTATCTTCGTGCGCTTGCTTCCACAGCCTGATGCGAGTGAAAATGCCAGAGACAGGGGTGTATGGTAATTAGCCAAAAGCAGGCTAAGTAGGAGCCCATAAATGTGCATTGGCATGAGGTAGTGACCAATTACTTCAATACATTTGTCTTTCATGAAAGTAAGTAAATTTCAGGCCCTCTTTTAATTTAGTTTTTATTCCTTTCATGTAGTCACAGAAGCCACGAAATGAAAATTATATTTTATAGCTTAACTAAGAGTTTTTCTAGATCTGCTTTCTTAAAATATGAAGAAATTGATAGAATCCATATAAAGGATAATAATTAAATATGGTTTATAACCTACTTATGAGAAAGAAGTTATCACTGCTTCTCTCGTGGGATCTAAGCCATATGTAATGGTCTCCATTACACAACATTCATATATTTAAGCTGAAGACACCCCACACCCCGCCAATTTCTTCAGGGAACAGATCTGCATTTCCAGGCCTGTGAGTGCAGAAGGAAACCTTTGAACATGAGTTTCATTTAAGAGAACAAATCCCGGTTTAAATGCAGTATGATTATGATGGATGATCTTTCTGAATTGCAATGAAAATAAATAGATTCCTTGCACAGAAGGAGGCATAACTTTAGCACTAGAACAAAGTGTCTCTCTGGAGCTGGGTAACAGGTATTAACTTACAAGTCTTCCTTGTGAATATCACCGCAGGTAAACAAACAGGGACAAGGTGCGAGGATCATGGGCACTTAACCAAAGAGGCTTATTTATTATAGGTCAAGTGCAAATGGGGGACAATAGTTAAGCAAAAGAATCCACCAGAACTGCCAATGAATGGGACTTCCGTTCAGGACCTTACTGAAATGGACCCACTGAATAAGTTAGACAAAACCATGGCAACATCTGGTGGCCTTGAATAAACAGTAACCTACGTTGGGTAAAAGACCTTTCTGGGTGTGTCACGCTAACCATAAGAAGACCTGTATGATAGAGAAGAAGGCCTGTATGATAGAAAGAGGACTTTCACTCCAGCTAGACCCACTCACATGCACACACGTTATCTAGTCTGTCATGTGACTCAACTAGTCCAGGTCACCCTGAACACAATACAGCAATTGCAAGGGGTCCATATTCAAAGCTGAACTTGTATTATGGGTGCAATCGATGTAAGGCTTTCTACCCCATCCTTACATGGGGAAAATGCAAAAGTATACTTATACACACACCTCTCTCCCTATCTCCCTTTCTCTCCTCTTTCTCGGTCTTTCTCTCCCTTTCTCTGTCACTCACTGCCTTTCTACCCCCTTATTAACCTGGGATGGCTGGCCCTCTATCCTGGGAAAGGAAGATGAATTCAGGTCAAGCTCAGAGTGCCTGTTTGCTTGCCGAGAGATGTGTATCAACTCTAAGTGATTTTTTTCAATACCATTTATGTGGCTTGTATTTATTTCCTTTAATCTTTTAAGTGCTGTTTAGTCTCTGTGTGATTTGCTGTGGATACTCATTTCTGATAAGATGCGATATCCTCCCAGCCACACAGTTCCTGCCTGGAGCCCTAAGTGACTGATAGGGTCGCAGCCCGAGCCTGGGCCTCAGCGGGGATGGGACGGGGCGGGGGAGCAGCTGGTAGAGTGAGTGGGCTGTGGGCATTTGTAGGTGCTTTCTTGCCTTCATTGCTTCTGGAATCGCTCTCACCTCAAACTGCTTTCTTGTTCCCTTTCCATGTGTCAGCCAGAATATAGTCAACCCCAGACTAAGAATGGAATAGGGGTATGTACCAAGTGGCGTACTTTGAAGCAGCTTTGGGAGATAGTTAGATTATTAGAATCCCTCGGAACCATGTATTGTAATATACTAAATTTATTTAGGGTTTTCAGGGAAGTACCATATAATGCATGCCCCGATATGGGTCTTCCCGGGCAATGTCATGTAGCAGAGATGGCATTCCACCCCACCACCCCCCGTGCCCCACCTAAGACTTACACCATTAACATATGTCAAACTTCTTTTGATGTCCCCTCTGCTAATATTTCTCTTCTTAGCTCTAAGGTTACTGCCGTGCTTTCCGGGTTTCAAGGGTGCTTCTTCCCAGTCTGTGTTGCAGTCAACTCTAAGAATCCAAGGACCCTCTATTTTTCCTTCTTGACATTACAGCTTTAGCCTGAATTTGTGAGGGTGGGGGTGGGGAGAGGGGGGCTAGAATTTTGCTGCTGATGCCCTTGGGTGACAGGCTGGGTGCGCATCTGCAAATTATCAAGCCGCTCTCTTAAAAAGAAGCATGATGCGAGCTAATACATCTATAAAGCTTATTAGTGGGTGTCTTTGGGCAAAAGCAGTAGAGTGTGCTGTGTTGTTTGTGAGCGAACCTTCACATTGCTTAGCGATCTGTGTGGTTTAGACATTTGGAAAACAGCCTTTGGTTTCCAACGCCCTCTGCTGCCCTCCCTCTCTGCCCCACCCCCCCAACCACATCATCAGAGATATCACTCAGTGGCAACCTCCTCCTTTTATTTGGGTGCTCTTCTCCAGCCTGGTTCTCCAGCCTCACAGCCCAGTCTTAATGAGTGGTAAAGGGATCCCATGTGCATGCTCCCACATGCTCTCCCTCTAGGGAGCTGCAGGGACAGAGCTGGGATTGGCTGGGGATCCTTGAGCCAGCAGGCACCAATGTTCCCAGTCTTCCCCGATTGAAACATTGGCTGTCAAGGCCTCAGATCCTTGCCCCTCTCCAAGGCTCTTCCTCTGGCGTGCACGGATTAGGCACCTGCTAAGTTGGTTCACTGGTACAATCAGCTGCTCTTCTGCTGCCGTTTCCCATACAACTTTATCTCTGATTGTGGTTTTGGAAAAACCCATTCTATTCCTTAGCAAAGTAACTACAATTAACTTTAAGAATAATGATTGAGCGTTTCCACATATATATATATCTATATATATGTATATTGTCTATATATAGATAAATCATGATTTCTCTCTCTTACGGCAGGGCGCTTACAAACTGGTGTAGTCTGTTTCAAGTGCATGTTCAAAAGCTGGAGTGCTAAGAGGTGATCATTTCACCTTTTCTAAGCCGGCCTCTTTGACTAACACATTTGGTCTTTGTCACTGGGTCCTAAAAGCCAGCCATGAGTTCCTAGTGAGTGACTGAGCCGTGTGTGTGTGTCCTTTGATATCTTGCCTGTATCTCTCAGTCTACCCTCAAACTGTTCATAATCTCATGAGCTGCCTGTCTTTCCAGTTGAAGATGAGCAGCCATCAACACTGTCCCCCAAAAAAAAGCAGCGGAACGGAGGCATGCGGAACTCACCGAGCTCCTCGCCCAAGCTGATGAGGTAAGAGGAGGGGCCACGCGGGGCACCCTTCCGGCTCCTCGCCGCCCCTCTGGGCCCCCTCCCCACCCCACCCAGGCCCAGAGCCTCCCCTCCCCCGGCAAGGCAAGCACGAGATGGGGGAGGGGACCCATCGTTAGGTGGCTTCTTAAAGGCTGGAGTATTTATTCTGTCAGCTTGTCAGCAGTTAATGATAGAGCTGAAAAAATTCTGTCATGAAAAACAGTTTGAAAAGCTGTTTGAAAAATACATAGGCTTTAAAGTCTTAGCTGTCACCATGTCCTGTCTATGTGTAGTTCCTAAACAGCAGTGGCATTAATGACGCCGGCAACCAATCAGAGGGATGCGTGTGGTTAGTTTGCCTCCGGCGAGTCTCTTTCTGCTGGAGTCCCTCCGAGGACTGTTTTCTGTACTTAAGGCCATATGTGAGATGTATCATCACAATCAAAAATGAACCTGAAGATTACCTTCCTTTTATCCTGTCGATTGAAATCAAATTTCTGTTAATTGATTTTGACTCCTAAAAAAAGTCTAATAATCTGTGGACTTGCCAAAGCAAAGTTCAAAAGTAATCCAGTTCTGCTCAGGCTAAAAGCAATATTAATTATGAAATAGAGCGTGTGTGTAGTCTTTCTCTCTCTCTCTCTCTCTCCCCTACCTCCCTTCCTTCCTGTCCTCCCTCCTCCCTCCATCCCTTCCTTTTCCCCTCTTTTTTCTCCTTCCTTCCTTCCTTCCTTCCTTCCTTTCTTTCTTTCTTTCTTTCTTTCTTTCTTTCTTTCTTTCTTTCTCTCTTGATGGTGGCTTCCTCTTGGAAATAGCAAATGAAACCAAGCTTCAACAGAGTTCTGCAGGTTTCTCTTCTGGGCCTCTTTATCTTTCATATCCCCTGGTTGTTTTTGATTCACCTGCCAATCCCAGTGCTTATTTCCTCTAACATCCTAACTCTCTAGCACCTCCGTGATGAAACGGGAGTGATCCCTAAATCATTACTGCCATGGAAGCACCTGCCATCTTGATGCTTGATGCTTCTTTCTTCTTCTCGTCTCTTCTCTCTCTCTTTCTCTCTCTCTTTTGACATTGGCTGCTCTCCTCCCTTTGATTACCAGCATTAAATTATGTCCATTCTTCCCCCCACCCCGCTCCCCCCACCCCCCCGCTCTTCCCTGTTTCCACACATTTGCATCTCCCTGGCCCTCTATGGCCACCCTTCTAGGTCGCAGATGGGGCCGTCCTTCTCCCTGCTGTCGAGGACACAGGCTCCAGGAGGACTCCCCCCCGCCCCCAGCCCCATGTCCTTTTCCGTTAGGATCATCTCTTCCTGTGAGATGTTTCCCGAACAGCCCTCTGCCTGCCCCTTTGCTCAGTCTTGCTGGGGTGTTGCTGATTTACATGCTTGTTTACAGTTTATGAGGAGGAATAAAATGCACCAACTGCCAAGCTTCTCATTTTTATGATGCCAGTTGTCATGCTAACATTCATTTCCTATTTCCTCACCTTTAGGTAATCGCCTTATCTAATGCTAATAGTTTTACCCATTTAAAGTAGAGGAAAGCCCAGGCGCTTTCTTTTGCCTAAATTTAAGAGAGAAGCAAATAAATAAATAAAGAGAAGTCTGAAAAATCTAAAACCTTTGGAGCCAAATTCCCTGTCCCTGTTTGCTATGTAAAGTATGGCTCATTTCTTTGATCTTGAGTAATAATAATTCTGAGGCGTTATACTGTTTTCATATGCTTCAAAGCTGTGTCAAAGTTTTGCTGCTTAAGGGTACTTCTTTATTCTGTTGGCTCTTGGGTACCAAGATGACAGGTCTTCTGTACGAGGTGGAAGCTTTTTTAAGTCGTAGCCTTCAGCAAAACATCAAATTACCAAATCCAGGGTAACATACTTCTACACAAATGCCTTTCCTGTAGATATATTATACCATATATATTAAATACTTTAGTGTTACACGCTACATTTTATGTGCAATAGAAAGTGATGGTTTGAGGTAGCCTTGGGGGGACTTTTTTTTCCACAAGCAGAAAAAGCTAGTGTATACCGTATCAAGCATGGTTTTTACAGGACTTTCTGCCCGAAGGCCTTTGTAAATAAGTAATGATCAACAGATTGGCTGTGGGTTTTTGAAAAGCATGCCTATGTCAGTTTGCATGATGGGGGAGAATTTTCAAAGTGGGTCTTGCTTTCATTGCCTTTTGGAGAGGGGCTGAGGGAGCAGTCATCCCGGGCTGGGGCTGTCTGCTCTGCGGTGCATCAGAATTGCTAAACGTGGGTCAGGCCAAGCTACAGAACTTGGGTTTCTGGTGTCGGTGCCTTTGGGCTACTCTCTGGCCACTGTGACTGCTTTACCCCACCTGCCCACCGCGGTCTCGACGGCAGCTCAGCTGGCACGGGCGGTCCCATGACAAGTCAGAGGGTCTTCGACGTTCCTCCTTCACCGTGACTTTCTGTGTCCCAGGTGCTCTGCATCGTCTTCTGTCGTGGAGGCAAAGGCCGGGTGCTGAGCCCTCCTTTTTCCTTTACTTCCAGCACGTGAATGAAGAAGCTGTGGGCAGTTTTGCTCTGTTTGAATGTCTGGCATGGACACGCGGGCAGCCAGGACCTAATTTCGTTATTCCTCTCTTGTTGATTGAGACGGAAGAGAGGGGCTCGTGCCGCTTCTTGTGGTTTCTCCAGGTCACCCCACCTCTTCCCAGACTCCTTTTCCACTCTACAGAAGATAGGACTCTTAGGTCCTATTCCTTCTGACCTGAAAAATCCATACAGGAAGATAATGACTTATCTGAAGTGGGTCTTTCGACATGAGTTTGGGGCTTGGCTTGTTGGAGCAGAATCGATCATTCTGAATGTGGGAAGGTTTTAGTGGCCTATGGGCAGTGATAGGAATGGCTCCAAGAGAAACCTGAGAGTCCAGAACAGGCAAGGATGGGCCTGAATTGACTGCTGTGGCTTCTGCAAATAAAACAGGCTCCTGTGTGAGGGTTTCCTGCAAACCATCGGCCCGAGTGAAGAGCTGCTGGGACCCTGCGCTCGTGGTCTTTGTCCCTCCTTTGTTCTGGGATCAGACTCACCCTGGTTTTTCAGTGCCACTTAGCTCCCCGCTCAGCCATCACGCGAACAGCCTTGTTTTGTGTGTCTGGATCCTGATGCACTAGGGTTTTTAGTCGCCCTGACAGAAAACAATTCTCGCAGCCCAACTGAGCCAAATGGCAACATCTGTGCTCCACGACAGTGTGCCCCATGTCTTGATGGATGACCTTTGGCTTACAAACCCCCCAAGAGGAGCAGACCATGGAGTTTCCCAGGTTCTTGTTATTTGCCTTCCTTGTTCATCTCTTAGCATGCAATGATTTAAGGAACCTCTCCTTGTTTCCCTTTCAAGTCACCAGGCCCTCATTGCCCACTTGTCGCTGCTAGTGAGTCTTGTGCCTTGGGAGGAAGGCTGCACTTTCCTTCCATTGCAAGACCGTAGAGGGCAAGAACATTGTCTCTGGATAGCCTAGTCGAGTGCTCTTAATTTCGGGGGTCTCGGAGACCCCGCTGGACATCAAATGAAAGCTGTCTACAAAGTCTCTCTGGGGGCCGGGGAATGCACACTGGGTACCATTTTGACTACAACCGAAGCAGATTTGTGGCTTCCTTCATTCCCCACCCAGCTTACAACTGTGTTCCATTCTTTCCACGCCCACCTTCAAGGAGCTGTTCACAGACACTGGTGGATACTAAGAGTATTTCTCCAGCAGGTAGACAGTATCAAGTAAATGCCTGGACTCCCATACTATATCCTCAAATTGGATCCAGAAATGTTGTTCGTTTCAGCTGTCTGTTTTGATTCCTTTTCTTAGATTAATTCTCTTCTCATCTAGCAAATGCTTTTTGCTAGCCTACTGTATTTGGGATTGTAGGAAGTCTTTGAGGAGCATGAAGAGGATGGGTTAGAGTAGGTCTCTGCTCTTCAAAACAATCCCTGTAATGTAGGAGACGGGCAAGCGTGCATGGCAAAATAGAGTAGAAACAGCTTGGAGATGTACTGGCATGGGCTGTGAGAACAGAGAGAGCTGCCCTTACTTCTGGTCTGGGAGGCAGAGCCTGGTTTGTGAAGGAGCTTTCATTTAAACCTAGCCCTCGATGATGAGGGGAGTTCTCTCATAATATCAATGCTTACCCTTGGTCATGGCTTACTGGGTACCAGGCACCATTCCAAGAGCATTGTGTCTGTGAACTCACTGAATCTTAACTATGGCTCCATAAGATGGGGGAATTATACTTTCCCCCATTTTACAAATGAAGACGCTGAGTGGCAGAGATGTAAAGTCTGGTGGATCTAGTGAGTCTTACCCAATGAGGAAGATTTGGACCCAGATAGCTTAGCTTCCAAGCCCATATTATGAACTCTTTCACTGTTCCATCCAATGGAGGAAATAAGGAGAGTGCTCAGGCCGTAGTAAGTGGCTTGATGTGGCTGGAGCAGCAGGTTCTTGGAGGGGCATAACTGGACTTGGAACGCTGGAAGTATTCTTGTACCCACTCATGAAGGCCTTTGCCTATCATTGGTATTGGGAAACCCTTGCAAGTCTTGAGGAGACAGAGTTTTGGGAAGCTCACTGGTGGCAGTATAAGGAAAGGTATAGAACCAAGCCTCCATCAGGGGCCTTCTGGACACATGTTACATAAATAGGTGTGAGAAGAAGGCCCAGCCAGCCCCAGCCTCTGCCAAGGTCCTTCGGATGCCAGACCACTTAGGGTCTGAGCCAAAAGTGGGCCACAGTCTTCCCAAGGAGGACACACAGCATTCCTGACATCAGTCCATGTTATACCTCTTTCTCCAGGACCTAGGAAACTTGGAGTCAGATAGAGGGGCCGTGAGGACTCATGCAGGATGTGCTGGGTAGACGGTTTACCAATGAGATGGTCCCAGCCAGGTTGGCAAGGTTAACTGACAATACAGAAAACAGAGAAATTGAACATGGTGAGGGGAGTTTCATGTCACATGGCCTAGAAAATAT